TTTAAAACAATAAATCAGAGCCTTTTCTTGTCTCCTCTCTCCATAGTTATTTGCCATCCACCTTCTGGCATGGCAACACACATCTTTGTCCATTTTTGCATGTTGACCACTGTCAGAGGGCAACAAAATTTCTTCCTTTTTTTTTCCAAAACCAGGCGAAAATCAATGCGCGCGCTGATGTCATCCAAAAAAATTACTTGCTGTGGCCTAATGCACTTCTATACGGGGGCAGTTCTGAGTACTGTGGGTCATATTCTGCAAATGTCATGACCAAACAAAATCCTTTTTTTGCAAACAGCTGAACTTTTAGATGACCATGGTAACACACTTAGCATTCAATTGGTGCTAGTCTAACCTTTGCATTCATGCTGGAAACTGTGGCATCCGCTAACATTTGCTAAATAATACATCATCGTTATACATGACAAGCATATGATGCTATCAATTTTGCCTTTCCTTCTACCTACATTAACATGATGCATATTTGTCATAATTTATCATATATCATATACAGGGTTCTCCCCAGACGATGGAACAAGGGCGCTGCGCCCTGATACTCCTAGCTCAGCGCCCTCATACTCATTTTCAAATCTAGGGTGTTGCATCCCGATTTTTCTACAAAATTTCGCTAAAATTCGATAAAATTTCCTGATTTCGGGGCTTAGTGGCGTCTATTTTCCCGCCGGCATTGTCTCTGAAAACTTGTGAATGGGGCGATAATCGAGTAAACAATGAGTATTTCGCACGACGCTACTGAGAGAATCGCTGTCATTGGTGGAACATCGGGCGCCCCACTAGCGTTTTGAAGTCGTGTAAACAAAGCTAATTGTCTGATTTCTTTGTCAACCAAAGCCCTCGACCCTGATAATAAGTTTAAAAATAAAAGCCGATACGTTTACGAACTTATAAACCGTAGAAAATTGGCTACCGTACCGCGACATTATGAAGCATGTGGCGGCCGCGAAATTCGTTGACGCGACAGAAAATGTCTGGTTCATGATAGCGGTATTTCCCATGAAAATAACGTATACGATTTATTTTTCCCCTGCTGTCGGTTTTTAAGTCCCGAAACGTAAAAAAAGCTGAATTTTGCCCACAAACCCGGACGGGGGACGGCCTGTACCTATCGGCGTAGCACATGGCGGCCGCACCGCAAGGCTTCTGCCAAAAATCGGCAACGCGACAAAAAAATGCATGGTCCATTTTAGCGATATTTACCATAAAAATAACGTATGTGGTTTATTTCTCCCATGGTATGAGTTTTAAGGTCTCAAAACCTCTAAAAAAGCATAAATTTGCCGACGAAACGGACGGGCAAGGCATGGGGAGGGCGCTGTTGAGTTGACGCCTGCATGACCCCCAAGAGGTCGAAGGTCATAGGGCACGTCCATTGCGCAATCACCTTAATTCGCCGATTTAGCTAATTTTAGGGCGTTTGAAAATTGATACAATCACATTATCGACTTGTAGACAAGCAAAGGGATAGAAACCAATAAAATGTTGTGCAGATTAATATTTTTTCTTCAGATTTCTTTTTTTTTCTTTCTTTTTTTTTTAAATTCAAAAGTATTTTCTTGAATGTGTAACTTTGTTAGTCCTAAACATGGGACCGATTATTTAATGTTAGAGAAGTGAAATTTTGTTTTGATGGTACTCTTGATGGTACTTTGATAATTATAAGGGACTTGTTTACAAGTTGGTGATAACATAAGGATTAGCATTAGGATAAGGTTTTGTCCCAGCTTCTCTACATTTTCCCATAATTGCTTGCCTCAAGTTCCAAGTGGAAAATGTATGACTTAATGTCATATTCTGTTTCAATTGTCGAACTTGAAGGCACCGTTGGCCCCCGGTTAGGGGTCAGAGCGTGGAACCTATGCCCAATTTTTTCCTGTATGTTAACATTTTTTCTGGCAGTTCAAAACCTGAAGTTGCAGGAAATGGCTTCCATTTGTATTTAGATAAAGAAAAATGCTTCAGCTTCCCCCCTCTGGAGGGGGGGCCATGCCTCTCAAATCCTGGGGAGAACCCTGCTATAGTGAAGACTGTTCTAGTAGTAGTGTATACAAGTGCTGCACTGCTTGGTGCAGAACTACAAATAAAGGAGATGTATCCTCTTGTGACTTCTATAAGATGCTGTTACCTATCTTGTTATAATGTTACACATTTACCGGCAAATAAATGCATAATGACAACCACATACAAATTGAGTTTCCAATTATAGTAATAAGCTAGAAGAGTCCCAACACCTTGATCTTGAAGTTAAATCATGGTTACAACTTGGTGTTGGAGTCTCTTAAGCTATTATGTGTAAGTTGTATATTTAGGAAAGACAG